ATGTGCAGTGCTGGGAACAGCAAGGATACTGCGCAGAACCCTCAAGCTTCCTGGCCTCTGGTAGAGGACCCGAGCTGAATGAGGGATGGACACCACCCGAGGGGAGAGACGAGGATTTTTTTTAAACTATATATAACTATATATAACTATATATATATATATCGCCATGTTGGAATTGGCTTGTTTTAGTTGGGATACGCCTCATGCAATCTGCTGGCCCTCATCCCACCTCAAATGCTGCGGGGCCAGTGGCGAGCCAGGCTTTTGTTAGATTCACTACTGGATCTCCCACATGCCTTCCTGCCGGCATTTGGCCGTCTCCTCCTCCACCTTGCTCGGCATTGAATGCTAACGCCAGCTGGCTGCAGGCTTCTACTCGGAGAAGTTTAGCCCAAAGTGTGGGAAACAAGGGAAGACCCAAGACAATGAAACCTTTTTTTGTGGACACATTTCCAAACACACCCACTCCATCTCCTCTCCCCGCTCCACCGAAAGCTTCATCTAGCAATTAATTTCGTACTGCAATGCAGTCTACTCACCACTAAACACTATTACTTATTGCCAATTTGTGTCCCTAAGAAAACTCAATGCATCTCTGTGTATACTGCAAAGCCATAGATAGATAGATAGATAGATAGATAGATAGATAGATAGATAGATAGATAGATAGATAGATAGACAGATAGACAGATAGATAGATAGATAGACATGTCAAAGTTCAGTTAGCTGTAATTCCCTTTACAACATGGAGACACATTTTTAAGGTGAAATGAATGAACAAATGCAACAAATAAACAAGCACATCAGACTGTAATTTACTGGGGCAAATGTAGTTTGTCCAATTGTAGTTGTGACGTCACCGGCCAATGGAGGTCTTCCACCCAAGAAGCTAAATGGTTTGCATTTGCTCACTAATAGTCAATCAGAGTTATCACCATTTTTGCAGAATGCAATTGATGGCACATTTATTCAAATCATATCTTGATCGCATCCTTTATCCTTTATTTTCCACAAATGGATTCAGGGATTGCTGCCACAAGGCACTAACCACTTTTCGGCTACATAATCCACTCTGACTTGGTGTCTCCCTCCTGCCCCAGGACATGGATGAAGTTCTGCTGGAGGCGAGTGTTGAAACTCCTTCTGACAGGGAACTCTGCTAAACGTTCCCAGGTGACCCTCACAATGTTTGGTTCTGCCAGGTCGGGCGGTCATTTTCCCCGAGCATCGGAGCCAACACACCACCAGGTGGTGGTCACTTGACAGCTATGTCCCTCTCTTCACCCAAATGTCTAAGACATGTAAGTTCGATGACATAACCATAAAGTCGATCATCTAACTGCAGTCAAGGGTGTCCTGGTGCCAGTTGCACACAAGGACGCCCTTATGTTTGAACATGGTGTTCGTTCCATGACGAGCACACACGTACAATAACAGCACACTGTTCAGGTTTTGATCGGGTGGACTGTTCCTCACAAACACGCCCTACCAAGTGTCATTGTCATTGCCCACGTGAGCATTGAAGTCCCCCAGGAGAACAATGAAGTCCCCAGTGGGAGCACTCTCCAGCAACCCTCGACGAACTCCAAAAAGGGTGGGTACTTGGAAACGCTGTTTGGTGATTCAGCACTAACAATAGTTAGGACCCATTGTCGTGTGGGTGAGCAGTTTGCTGATGTCAACGTTGTGGATCGAGTGGACCGTGGTGGAAATGGAGTTATGGTATGGACAGCAATACAATATGTTATGGGCAATGAATACAGGTGCATTTTAATGATGGCATTTTGAATACCCATAGATACCATGACGAGATCCTGAGGCCCATCGTTGTGCCAGTCATTCACAACCATGACCTCATGTTGCAGGATGATAATGCAGAACCCCATGTTGCAAGGATCTTTTCATAGATCCTCGAAGCTGAAAACATGCATTGCCTGCATACTCACCAGACATGTCACCTATTAGCATGTTTGGGATGCTCCAGATCAGCGACATACGACAACTTTGCACAGCCACTGAAGAGGAGTAGACCAACATTCCACAGGCCACAATCAACAACCTGATCAAATCTATGTATTGCACTGCGTGAAGCAAATGGTAGTCACACCAGATATTGACTGGTTTTCTGACCCCCAAAATAAAGCAAAACTGCACATTTCAGAGTGGCCTTTTATTGCGGCCAGCCTAAGGCACACCTGTGCAATAATCATGCTGTCTAATCAACATCTCAATATGCCACACCTGTGAGATGGGATGGATTATCTTGACAAAGGAGAAATTCTCACACATACGCTAGGATGTTGCTCAAAAAACAATGAATAATTCACCAAGAATCTGCCACGATTCAAACGAATCGAATAAGATTTTTGGATCCCAAAATAGTGGACACCAGACAAAAACTCCATAACAAAAATTTTTAATACAAAAACATACGTAAGTAGAAACATAAAGCGTTGCTCAAATAAGGACCAGGAAAAGAAAAAAAAAAAAAAACAATAACCAAAAGCTCTTGCACAAAAGGCAAGGAAGAAATCAACCCGAGACAAACAAAACAAAATGCAAAGAACCCAATTCACATAAGATAAGAACAAAGATGAAAATGAAAACAGAATTTGGACCCAGAAGCAGGCAGGACACAGAAGTGGGAAAGTAAAAGTCTTTTTATCGAAAAATTCAAAGTAAATAAACAGAGAGCAGGGAATGGAAGGCTATATATTCTGACCTATAACTAAGTAAGCTTGAATACAGAAAGACTGGCCATGCTGAAACCTACGTGACCAAATAAAGGACCAATGCAACTAATAGTATCAAGGACCCATACCAGTCACAGTCACAACACAGTATTGCCTGCAATTGAAGTTGGACCCTTATTTATAAACATGTCAGGAATGCTGGTGCAAGCTGCAGAGTTGAATAAAAGTTGGAATTTACTTTCATCTTAATTATCTCTATTATTAATTTGCACATACCTTAAAGAATTCAAACTGTCAGCTAGTGATGATTATTATAAGAGCAGCTGCTTGCTGGTGCAATATGCTGTGATTTACATTTGATCCGACTAGTCAACTAATCGTGACTACTGATGGTGATTAGTCAGCCAGCAAAATAATCATTTGTGGCAGCCCTAATTATTACCAGGTGAAAACAAATCAAAGAGAAGAACTAATGCTTCACTTCAGGACAGCCAAACCCTCTCTCTCATGCTTTCTGCAATTTTTTTTTTGTACCTTCAAAACTGCCTAAGTGAAACAGATGACTTCGGCAGATAGAGTTTTTGGATATTAATAAGGGTTGTGATTGGTCAAGGTCATAGGCAGAAAGGCAGATTGATGCCGCAGTGGTAGCAGTGTAAAGTCATGCCAAGAGCACAATTTGGCCCAAAAATCACTTCAACAATCATGCTATGTGGCTAACAAATTTTAACACTCCACCAGCTGCCACTGGTCTCAGGCAACGATACTGAATAAATCGGTAAAGTCACCCGAAGAACTTGCATCCTCATGATCTAATATCAGTCACAAAGACAGAGGGCAACTTGTGTGTAAGGGAAAAGCGGAAGTTTAACACCCGAGCTTCTCTGCTCATGCCACTTTATGTTGAATGCAATAGCTCTCACGGGCAATGGTATTGATGCAATTTTAGGTGGAAACAGAGTTTGAGCAATAGAGAAGATCCATGGAGAACTCATCCATAACTTCCACTGTCACGTCACATTACCCCCCCCCCGAAACACACCTTCAGTTACACCACCATTAACAGAAAAATAACATGCTTTACCTAGACTCCACTACCAATGTTATTCACACTTCTGAATTACACTCCTTTCCAGAGACATTAAAAAAACAACAACAACAGAAAACTACATTTTATGAACACCAAACTACCAATGTACCATGGAAATAGAGAACATAAGCCAAAATGTAACATACAGTACACTCTTGGTATACTGTAAACACAGATTTGTATCAAAGCTCAGGTTCTTACCCGTTCAAACCCTCTGAGGCAATGCATCTGCACCAGTGGCCCCTTGTCGGTGTCATCACATGAAAACTCTGCCCAGAAAGAAACGTGATGACTTTGGATTAAGCTGCCTATACTGCGAATAAAACATGACTATGCTAGAAGATACACTGAAGGAAAAAAGCTAATTGAAACAAGAGATTACATTAATTTTGATCTCTTTTGTCAAAGACAGGAAAATATCATATAATTAAGCATGAGTTCAGATATTTGAAGTCTTACCTGTCATCATTTTTATCCTCCTTGGACTCTCTTGTTAGTGCCGGCAGCCATATCTGAAACAAAATGTAGTTCCTTTACAAACAACCCTTAAAAACACTAAAATCTATATTTTTCATATTGTTGTTTTTAGGTTAGGGTTAGGAAAACCACTTGTAAATTTGCAAAACTCAGACAATCCGTACTCAACAATGAAGAAGGTTTTGCTGTTGAAATGAGAGACAACAGGCACATTCATTCATGCGTGGTGAAACTAAGTCAGCACACGCAACTTACACAGTCATCCCTTAGCAGCACAAAGACCATGAGAATAAATGCAAGAATGTGTGCAATCCTTTCTTAAATTGGATTGGAAACAAAGTTTGACAGCGACAATCATGCCACTACTGAACTCAGTCACACTAATTCAGGGGTGCCCATTACGTCGATCACGATCGACCGATAGCTCGCGGACTGGTCCCAAGTCGATCGCGAGGGGTGTAGAGTAAAAGAACAAACATTTTTGTGTCTCTCGACATGTTAGTAATATTTCTTTTGTCTTAACGCACACTGTACCCTAATCATCGTATCAGTCTCACTTTCACAAAAAATATTTTCAAAAATAAAATAAAATAAAATAAAGCAGGTCACCGGAAGTTGTTAGCGCTCAGCAGTCTGCAAGTGCAGCTTGCGATCAGAGCTGTTGCGATACAGCTTTTATTTTTATTATTATAATTATTATAATCAGTCAAAATTCGTTTCGTGTACATTTCGCCGATGGCACTCGCAAAGAATGGCAATCTGGAGGGCCGAGAGAAGCATTTTAAAACAGTACGCATGAGCTACGATAGTTAACAGGCTGCAAAAGTGTGTCGCATGCCTCCGCGTCAGGCCTTCCACTAAGGTAGGCAGTGATTTCCTTTTAACAAATTCATAAACTCTTGTGTCTATTTTTCTGTTTCATTCATTTTAGGCGCCGTTATTGCTGTTGCTCATCATGGCATGTGTGTGTAAGGGCATGCGCAGGCGCGCGTGCACGTTAATGGGTCGATCGTGGGAGGTTGGTTGATCGAAAAGCAGATTTTTGGTCCAAAATGTTTGTGCAACCCCTGCAATTCATTAGCTCAACCAAGGATATGTCTTGGTTGTGGGTTCCAATAATTTGCGTGTGTGTGTGCGCGCGCGCGCGTGCGTGCGTGCGTGCGTTGTAAACGGGGTGGGGCAGTAGCCAAGGTAGTCTAGTCATAATCCCTATTTGCCCAATAATAAACCCAGAAATGTTGACTACCCTCCCGAAATATCATATATTGGCCTTGTGCAGGAGAACCCAACCTTTTTTGACAGAACATCTACTTTTCAGGCAGCCAACCTCCCGCCATTGGCCCGTTACCACCCCTGCATGCCTACACACACACTTGCACATACACGCACACCCACGCGTATACGCACACACGTACAAAACAGAAAAATAAAGTAGATACATGAGTTTGTGAGTTTGTGAAAAGGAAATCACTGGCTACCTTAGTGGGAGACTTGACACGGAAGCATGCGAGCTTGTTAAATGCTGAAACATCACTATGGAAACTCGTGTGTGCCGTTTTCAAATGCTTCGCTGGGCGCTTGAGGTTCCCATTCTTTGAATATGCCATTGGTGAATTGCAGATCAAACAAACTTTGAATGAGAATAAACAAAAACACTTTTTTATTTTATTTTTTTCAATTTTCCTCTACACCGCTTGCAGTCAATTTGGCACCAGTCCGCAAAGTACCGGTCAACTGCAATCAAGTGTTTGGGCACCCCTGGCCTTGTGGATAGAATTCAACGTGGCTACTAAAAGTTTTGCACACTGGGAAAATTGCATAATTTCTCTGAAGAGCCAATGAAGGTATCACACTGCCTGATGTCCATCCATTCATCCATTATCTGAAACCACTTATTTTCACAAGTCGCGGGCGTGCTGGAGCCTATCCCAGCTGTCTTCGGGCATCACGTTCACAATCACACGTAGGCACAATTTAGAAGTTCAATTAACCAACCATGCATGTTTTTGAAATGTGGGAGGGAACCGGAGTACTCGGTGAAAAGCCACGCAGACACAGGGAGAACTTGCAAACGACATACAGGAATGCCAGTACTGAAATCGAACCTACAACGTCTGCACTGTGAGGCAAACATGCTGGCCCACAGGTGTCAAACTCATCCTGCATATTTTCCTTCTCTACCTCTTGCAACACAAATGAACAGGATCGATATCAGGCTTCTGCAGAGCTTGCTGATGAGCTCATCATGTAAATCAGGTGTGTTGCAAAAGGGCGAGTTAGAAAACATGCACACATACTCATACACACACACACACACACACACACACACACACACACACACACACACACACACACACACACACACACACAGACCTCCAACTCCACCCCTCACCCCCCAATTGGTAAATGGTCAGCGAAGAACATGAACCGTATTTTCTCCACTTTAACGCACTACGAAGTATAAGACGCACCTTCAATATTTTAAAACTGTTTTCATATATAGGGCATCCCACATTATAAGGCACATACAGGGTCGGGCAAAATGATCTGACACATTTGTAGTTTAAATAAAAGGCAAATAAATAAAAGAAACAAAAAAGTGTTTTTATTTTCAAAAAGTACATATAATGCTATTCTGTTTCATTATATTTTTTTAAATTTTATCAGTCAAACAGTGATAATTTTATAGTTTACCGTCAGCGAGTCCCGGACTCGTTGATCAGAAAAGTATGAGTCCCATTATGCATTTAGAGAGTCCCAAATTTCGAATTCTGAAATGGTCTTACTTATTCAATTGCACATGATAATAACACAAACAACAACACATACATACAATTATAAACAAATGCTGCAAAAATTTAAATAATTCAGTAGCAGGCCTGAGGATTTCAGAAATTCACGGTAACCGTTTTTCGGTTCCGTCGGATTGCCTAATGGGAAACCACGGTAACTAATTTTGGGTTCCGTAAACATTCATAATGGGAACCCATTTTCCTATTTTGACTGATATTCATAATCCAGAATTCTGAAACTCAAAAGTATAATGTTTCAAGGGTAAATGTTTGAAAACTATCCTTTAACAATGAACATTCCATCAGCAGCTGTGTACTCCAGGTTTATTCAAAAAAATACATGGATCAAAATATGGTGTACAGTGATCCCTCGCTACTTCGCAGTTCGTTTCGCGGATTTTTTCAAACGTAAAAATATATTTATTTTTTTAGATATACATGGAGTACAGTACTGTGTATGTTGCTCTATGGCTCGCGGACCGTTTGCGGACTTTAAAAAAATATTTTTTTTTACCTGTTTATGTTAACTGGACGCTACTTCGCGGATTTTCGTTTATCGCGGGAGGTTTTGGTCCCCATTAACCGCGATAAACGAGGGATTACTGTACTCATATAGCATCATGAATACAGCATACCACAAAATCAGAGTATTTTTTCCAATCTCACACTGCAAAGATTAATACTGGTAATCATTAATACAGGTAAGTATTGATGTGGCTTGACATCCTCTTCCCAAGACGATGCATGTGTCATCTACTGTCAATTTGACGAAAGAATCGTACACACGTCATCATTAGTTCTACCAACAGTTAACATTAGCATTACTACACCTTGTGACGAATGTTTTATTCATAAAGTTACCATGCTACAACCAGTAAATTATACAATAACCAATACTGTTTCATAATATTTTTTATAGCGATTAGCCTATAGATTTAATGACCAACTTGCCTCGGAATCGTGCCTCCCGTCGTATCTCGCTCTCGTGTTCTGTGCGTACGTCACAGGTGAGTTTAGTGATACGCCCTTTGGACAATTCATACGAAAAATCGGACTGGCATTCCCATTTCTTAAATGTCGTAATTAGTCGACCTTTGTGAGTTTTTTTCGCCGCAATCTCAAACTTTCATCCACGCGATTCCTCAGTTTGCGGACTAAAATAGCAACCCGCAAGCGCACATAATGTTATCTGTCCCTCCCGCCCCCAACACTGAAAACAAAACAAAACGAAAGTAAATTAGAAGAAATACACTCACACACCACACCACAAACACATATATAGGCACAGTGAAATCGCATTGATCACACAGGAGACACTTGATCCCGTACAGTCAACTCGTGTGCGGAGACTTTTATGGGAAACGATTTTTCGGTACCGTCAAAATGACGCCACGGAAACAACACGCTACCAGTAATGATGGTTCCCGTGAAATCCTCAGGCCTGCCGTACTTTTTTTTGTTTTGTTTTGTTTTGTTTTGACTGAGAAATTTCCTTGCGTCCCAAAAACGCACATTATTTGGAACTGTGCGTCCCACGGGAAAATTATGCGTCTAGGACGCGGGACGCAGAGGTAACGAGATGGCTGAGTCAAATGGGACATTTGCCACATTTTCTGGAGTTCTGGCGGTGCGAGGTCGGCCGGTTGATTTTCGTTTCAATGCCGATCCAGTAGCTCTGAAGTTGGTAACCCAGAACAAGATCGTGTTTCGAGCTGGTACGGGATTGTGTCTACCAAGATTGAAGCGCAAACAGAACGCTCCTTGTGTTTCAGTTACAGATTCGTTTGTTTTGATAAACATTTCTACAATGAAAGCACGATGCTCACCAGTCCAATTCATGGCAGTAACTGAATAAGAAACGAAAAACAATGGCATTATATGTACTTTTCGAAAATAAAAACATGTTTTTGTTCCTTTAGTTTATTTGCCTTTTATTTAACCTACAAATGTGTCAGAACATTTTGCCTGACCCTGCAGAATAGAAGTTACAATAGTGCCTGTGGTTGCGTTATGCATCCACTAAATGGAGCTGCACTAAAGGGTATACAATACAAGACAATACAATACGGCTTTCATTATATAGAGCCCTGGCAGCGGTTGCATCATCCATCCACTCGATGGAGCTACGCTAAAGGGAATACAGTACAATACAATACAGCTTTATTGATATAGAGCCTTCACAACCGCTGCAGCTGTAACAAAGCGCTTTACAGAAAATAAATCAGACTATTGATCTGTATATA